TGCGTACAACCCCACAGGGCTGTCCCTTGTAGTTTTTATACCTTTTCTCGATTACGATCAAGCACGGTCATTGATTCTTGAAGCCATCGTGAATTTACTTTCGTGCACTTCTTTCTTATAAATGCATAGAGCGAAAAAAAACAATGAAATACATTGAAAACACCACGCAATTGAGAAATTTTCACCTATACCGTAACGTTACCAGGGCCGTTTAAACAAAGGCATAAACGAAGCTGCAACTCTGTTTACTTCACCAGTCAATAACTGACGTATAATTTTGATAATTTATAACTGAGTGTTGATCGTGGTGTCGTCGAGTGTCGCAGTGTTGTAGACGACGGTTCGAAGTGACGGTTTCCTTTTGTTCAAATTTTGACGATATGAATCTCGTGCAAGACTGGTCTCGGCGGACTGCGTTTTAGAAGGAGCAATCGGGTGTGAGACAAGCATCTAAAATAAAATTTCAATTTTATATGCAGACGGAAAAGCGCCTGTTTCGTGTCTAAACGTTCTAGTTTCGGTGCAAGAAATCAATATTTTCCGGCCGGCTTGGTAGTGCACGTGTGGTGCTACTACACATATAATTAGAATAAGTAGTGCGGGGTGCAAGTGCTCGGCTGTGATTGCCGACCTCCACTTCAGTCACCATGTCCGGTGTTATGTTTGTTGTGCACATACCCTCGGCGAGGTACGAAAAGGTTCTTCGCGAAAAGGTTAACGAGGAGCTGGCCAAAACCAATCAGGCCACAGTGGAAGATGAGAAGAAAGATGATAAGAGCAGTGGTGGTGGTGACGGAACGAAGCCTTTCCTAACACCACAACCTCCACGGCATCTGCAGCAGCAAAACGAGGAACACCGGCACAGTTTATTGGACATTACCAACCCTCAACAAGAGCAACAGAAACAACCTACCCTGAACACACAAGGTGACGTGATTCCATTTATCGATGTCTCCGATGCTGATGCTGTTGAAATCCCCAAAACACCTCTCGCGTCACATAAGGAATCCACCGAGGAGCCAGCTAACCCCACTGGCAATACGTTAGGAGTTCCACTCGATCGCTCCACTGCGCTGCGAAAATCTTGGGAAGGCTTCAAAGACATCATGGGTTCTGCAAGGAGATGCAAAGAGCTGCAGAAGGAAACTGAGAAAATACAATTATCGGCAGACTCTACTCTGGCGGAAGTGATGAAGGAAATCCTACGACAGAAGCAGATACGGACGTCTTCCTGGGTAGAAACGAATAAAGGCCGCGGCCATCAGATTACTTTTTCTATAGAATCCGGCGCCCGGTGCGATGATGTGATCTATCTGTTGTGCTCTTGGGGCATCGGCGAACGGTACGGTTCAACGATTTCCATCACTTCGTGTACGCTGTTCACCGAGCAACGGCAGGACGAGGAGGATGACAAGCAAGCAAACGGCAAAGGCAGCGCCTGGAATAGTTTTCTCACTTCCGCCCGTGCTCAACTCAACGTAGCTTCGATCGTCGATAACGTCAAGAACGGTGCAGTGATCACGTTTGATTATGTGACCATGTTGATAACGGCTGCTGTCATAGCTGCATTCGGTCTGATCGAAGACAGTAGTGTGAATCTTATCGCCAGTATGCTTGTATCACCGTTGATGGGTCCAATCCTAGCGGCAGTGTTCGGAACTGTAACTGTAACGAAACCATTGCCATCGGATTAGTTTTGTTGAGTGGATTCTTCTTCGGATTGATCATTAGCAGTACCGACGAGAAGTGGGGCCTTGGCGAAGGTGTTACCGCAGAAATGTTGGCTCGCTGTCAACCGCATTCTTTGAAACTGGGCATAGCAATTGCACTACCTTCAGGGGCTGCCGTAGCCGTTGCCATACTGGCCGAAAACGGTGGTGGACTCGTGGGTGTAGCTATCTCGGCTTCTCTATTGCCACCGTCCGTTAATGCTGGTATTTTGTGGTCTCTTTCCCTGCTGAGCTCAATTTTTGGCAAGGCACCGGACCAACGTTATTCCACCGTTACCCAAACGAACTTCTACTCGGAAACCCAATCAGTAGAGCTGTTCTGTCTCGGTTGTATGAGCTTTTGTCTTACTCTGGTCAACGTGTGCTGCATCTATATCATGGGCATTTTCATTCTTTGGGTGAAAGAAGTGGCTCCAATCGTTCCGAAGGATCAGAAACAATTCTGGAACCACGACATCAAGATTGCCCGAGATTACAACAAAACTATGCACACGATGGATGGAATGACGATGAATAAGCAATTGCTTCAAGAGCTGTCTCATTTCCGTCCACAATCCGAAACTGACAAACAGGGCTCCGAACGGTGGTTGAATACCATTGGTCGGGCAGGACAAAATACCTGGTCGCCAAGACACCACCATCACCAGAAAGAACATCGACCCACGATCCAAGAGCTGGAGGCACTTTATCTAAGTCTGTCCGCTAATAACACAGATACTCAAAGTCATTACCCGCCGCATCACGTGGCGCATCAGTTCATGAAAATTCCATCGTCCTATCTACGTTCATCAAAACCATGGTCACCACCTAAATTTTCCACAGTGGGTGAAGAATCGGAACCCTTGTCGCCTGGGCATACGAGTCGAACAAAACCGATCGATATCGTCGGTTTCCGAAGACACCATCGGTTTTCCGATTCGTTCCGAGGCACTTCGGCACCCCTGTCAAAGATCTTGGAGAATGTCGCCAGCGCCACTGGACACAGTGCCCCCGGAGAAGGTACTTCCAATCGCCAAAGTCAGAAGAACAAAAATAAATTCATCGTCACTCCTGCCGTCGATCCCATCCATAAGTAGTGCTCAAACAGGAATGTTCACAGTGATAATCGTGCTCGCGTTGTAAAAATGTGTGTGTATAGTATTTTTACTTATTGTAATCGACCCAAAGAGCCACCAAAAACTGGCTCAACCAAAGTGTTCTTAAGTGACTTTTGGGCCACCGGAGTGATTAACACACGTGTATCATCTTCGGATTTACTTCATGAAGCAGCTTGCTAACAGTTTGGTCGTTTTCTTCTACCGGATCGAGCGAGCTGTGTTTCCCGTCCCTGAAGAAAAAGGAAGAAGATTATATCATTATTGCTTTCCATTTCTGACAAAGCATTATCGTTCAGCTCGTTGATCGTTTGTCATTTTGTCATTTGGAGATATTTTTGATTCCTTGCATATTAATAATAACATATTGATTACCTATTTTGATAAATATTAGTGAAAATGCCAATTTCATTGATCATTGATTTGTTATCCCTAGTAGCACACTTGTCACAGAAAAGTTGTGGCTACTTGTATGTATCTTATTTCAGTCACAATCAAGTAGCAGCAATTTATTACGATGGACGTGTGTTGCTTGGGATCAGTAAATCTAGATTTGATATCATTTTTACAATCTTCATATGCCATTATGACCTTCTTTTTGTTATGATTGCTGGCAAATTATGTTATCATGAACGATTATATCATAATATCGAATTATCATTCTATTTTGTTTTCATTCTCTGCTCGGGTGGCGTGTTCCAGTTTCCTGCAAAGAAGGGGTAAAAATTTGGCATATTATAAATTCAATCAATTTCAGAGGTGGTGGTTTGAATCTTTATTTTATTAGAAAAGGAATTTTCAATGTGTCAATGAAAGGTTTATGTCAAACGGCAATGAGAGTTAGGAAGCGTTTCTAATATTTACGGAAAACTATTTTTTTTTTCTTTATGAAGATTCATAAAAGTTACCTTGCCCCTTATCGTTGACGCCCCAAGTAACATCGCAGGTTTTATCGAGGTTTTATAGCATTCTACAAGTCTAAATCATGGTCTACAGAACCCTCATAAAACCAAAATTGTTACTTGGGGCCAGTGACTAAACAGCTAATAGCATGAGTATTACAAGACTTTGGGATGTTAAAATTGTACGCACAAAGAGAGTCGATTTTTTTTTTTTTATTTGTGCAAGTTTTTTTTAAGGTAGTAGAAAACATACGATTTTAGTGAACTGTTATTGAAAAGTTGAGATTTGTTTTAGACACTACGAGAACCCCTAACGGCATTCAGGAAGTAGAAATTATGTCCACGCGTGTGTGTCTAATATATTGTACATATTCAGTAAGTGCCAAGACACAAGGGGAACAAGAAAGTTAACTAAAAATCAATAAATTCCAGCAATCACAATTTCTGAAGGCAGTAGGTATCGTTTAAAGTGAATCGATGTTGAGGAAAATGTATTGGAAGGGGATTTACTCAACGTTTTGCCATTTTTCGTGCGTATGGGAGATAAACATCATCTTTGGCAAGGAGATGTGTAAAACTGACTGGGGATGGAAGTTTGTTCAGCCTCAAGAGGATTTCGAGCGGTTGGTATTCACGGTATTTATTGGAATTGGCTCTGTACTCGACGTGAGCGTCCCCTGATGCTATTGCGGTCTTATGCTCTGTTCTTATGTTTATTTTTTCTTGTGTGCTGAGTAAGCACATTTCTGCCATTTGTCATTTGTTTTGTATAAACTCGATGGCAGGTACGATAGCTGTGCAGAGTTTGTTTGTACGTTTTATTTACAGTACTCGAAGTGCTTATTTGGACAAGGCTTTTCGATGGATTATAATTTGACAACTCAATAACCTTTGAGTTTTTAGTTGTTTATTCATTTTTGAAGTACGACTTCTGTTTGATTGAAAGTTGGTGGGCACTTGCGAGTCACTTCATCAAATTCAGCAAGGTTATGTACAGCGGCAAAGATCATATTACTATAGATATTCGTGGCACAGAAAACCTGAGTTGATCAAAAAACAAACATAAACTGGCATCACCAGTACATTTGCAAACAAATTGCTATAACTGTGAGCACAGCCTGATTAGTAATGCAAATCACGCCCCATCTCTACATTCCAGTATTACATCATCAGCTCCCTTTTGTCGTGCACACAATTCCTATATACAATTCTCGCACAGTGAGCCACACACATTTCTAACCCAACTCTCTTCTGTTTTTTCCCGATTTCCGCAGAACTTTCTCTCGGCGAACCTGCAGTGCTGGTGGAATGCTCCGCTGGCAGCCGCCACCAAAGTGCTCAAATATCTCGGCCACATCTCGCCCGGAATGCTGCTGATAACGGCCGAACCGTGCGCCCTCGAGATCATCCGCAGTGCCTACGCAAGGAGTGTCCTCAAACCACCGGCCACCTATCTGATCAGTTCCCTAGGTAAGTCCCGGCCAGCAAATGCCATCGAGCTAGCGGTATATCACGTTCATTTTCGTAGTAGGCGGTGAAATTTATGAGTCGCACGATAAGAGAGCCGTTCACCTTCCCACACACACACACAACCAAAGTGTGCATTGTTTTCGTTTAACTTTTATTGTGGAAATCGTGTAGGGGACCGGTCGGTGACCGGAAATCAGATCGTTTTCGCAAATATCCCGAAGGGATCATGAGGGTTGGCTCTTTCTTTATATGAATATTTATATTTGCACGTTGGACCAGGCGCGTAGGTACATACATGTGCCCACAGCATAGGGCTTTTTATTATTTTTATCGTTTTATAATCTCTTACTAATGGTGGATGGTCATAAAAGGCACGTGACTTGAGGAATATTTGTTACATTTATACATACAGAAAGAGAAAGAATCTCCATAGAAATCGGCAGGGGGAAGGATGATGTAATTTGTATTCTTGAACATAGTTTATAATAAACGAAATGAAAAAAGGGAATTCGAATGCAAAATTTAAATGCAACAAATTTTGTATCAATCTTATGAAATTGGAACATAAATTAGAATAACATTTTCCGATGTTTTTTTTTTCAAGTTGAATTATATCATAGATGGCTACATATAAAAACATTCTGGTTATTTCTGGTGATGTAAACATCACCTCGGCCGATGAGAGTCAAAATTAAGTCGAATCAAAATCAGAAAATTTCAGAGTGTCTTAATCAGTGATTTTATGATTCGTGAGTGTTCGCTCAGAGTGAGTACTCACGAATCATAAAATCACAGATTGTGACCCTCTGATAAAATACAGATTTGCAGTCTTTCCCAAGTAAATAACTAGCCTGCAATACAGCGATACACATGATTTCAGTACTCTATATTAGACGTTGCGCAGCCTCATAACACTTGCTCACTATAGATGATATAACGTAACATATTTAGGCGCTCATGATATCAAATGTCATATAGTTTATGATTTTCGATGATAAGTAGTCGTATGAGTGCTCATTGCATTGTCGTATGAGTGCATTACGTTGTATCAGCTATAAGTCGTGTATACACTTGGATGACAAACTATGAGCATGAGCATGGTTTGTACAATAATTATGATCACTATACAACAATTATACAAGTGTGACCATGACTGTGCTCATAATTTATTATACAAATAATGCGCATGTTCATAGTTTGTCAAGCAAGTGTATCCACGGCAATAGTATGAGCGAAGTTATAGGGGAAATGACGGCTTCGGCATGACAGACTATTTTCGGCAACCCAAATTGAAACGCTCATGTCACTGGATTTTTTTTACGAAAACACTTCACAGAATGCATTCAAACGATTCTTTAAGCTTTCAGCTTCAATTTGATTATATTTTTACCTCTGGGAAAAAAGTAATTTAGCAGGGTTTTCTTGAAATAAAACACACGCAATGCTGCTGATTTCGAGTTGCCGATGAAAGCACAGCTGTTTAACACGCAGCTCAAATAGAAAGGTTGCCTAATAAAAAGATGTTGCCCAGAATAGTCACTCTCACTAGAGAAGATTGGAGCTTTGTAAAAGCGTTTCAAAACAGTTTTTGACAATTCTTTCGACTGAAATTGTTAGAGCAGCTGGCAGCAAAAGATTGTAAACAAACCAATAATGCATATGTGTGCGTTCCTTAGAGAGAAAAACTATAGAAAGTTGATCGCTGCTTAGGTTGCCGAGAATACGTAAATTCCCCTATGTATTATAGAAAACGCACACAAAGTTTTACGAAAAGTAAAGTAGACTGGTAATTAAATCAAAGCTCGTCGCACTAGACTAAATTTAGTTGAAGGTGGGCTCAATTGGTCATGACAATTTTTTTTCACTGACAGTTAGGCTCATCTTTGTTACAGGGGATAGACAAAATGATCGGTACAGGCAAAATTTTATCAAAATTCAAATGACATTAAATTTTAGAAAAATAAACCAATTTTAATGAAAACAAATTCATTTGATGGGAAATTTATAGCAGTTTTAATTAATCATTTGAAAATTGATGGTGGCGCCAGCGGAGATGTTCAGGTAGTTTGAGGTTATGTCAAAAACTGATTTTTTTTTCGTCGCTTGTATGTTTTTCTGGTATGAAAATTTATTTTAAATCATATTTTTCGTGATACCAGAAGCAATTTCGAATTCAATTCTGGCTAAAGATCCAAGATCGGTTGAGAAACAACCGAGATCTGGCAATTTCCTTGAAATCTGTTCCGGTAAAGTGACCAGTAATGTTAATCTGTTGAATCACGTCAATATCGGTAGCAATCCTCGTGATTTTTCAGCGCGATATCTCTAGAATCGTGTTCAGCGTCACACATTGCGATGACCATCCTAGAGCAGGTTCTGGGTTCCCCGAGGTAGTAACCAATATGGGACATGACCCGAACCATATCAATATGGGTGTCAAACTTCAAGGTTTTGCAAGTCAATGCCAATGGTAGATTTTTCATGTCAACAGCTTGCCCCGGTTACTACACTCTTAGATTTTTTGCCGTGATGAGCACCACCAAGCAGCTTGGCATTTTATTTTGCTGGATCTCAGTGAAAAACTTGCCGAGATTCAGCTAACAAACGGGAATTTTGCCGAGATCTCAGCCAACAAACATAAATTTTGCTGAATCTCGGCAAGTTTTTCACTGAGATCCAGCAATATAAAATGCCGAGCTGCTCGGTGGTGCCAATCTCGGCAAAAAAAATCTAAGTGTGTATGAAGCAGGTTCTGAGTGCCCCGGGAGAAGTGGCCAATTTCGAACGTGACCGAAATCATGGATATGGATTAAGATTTTACAAGCCAACACCAATGGCAGTTTTATCTGACCAACAACTTGCCATGGCTACTCTGTAGGAGGTTTTGGATGCCCCGGAGGAAGCGGTCAATTTGGAACATGACCGGAACCGTATCAATATGTGTGTCAAACTTCAAGATTTTACAAGCCAATGCCAATGGTAGCTTTTTCAGGTTCACAACTTACCCCAGTTTCCGTGGAGTAGGTTCTACATGCCCCGGGTGAAGTGGCCAAGTTGAGACATGACAGGAACCACTTCAATATGGGTGTCAAACTTCAAGTATAACAAGCAAGTCCTGAGTACCCCGGGAGAAGTTGCCAATTCCGAACATGACCGGAATCATGTTAATATGGATGTCAAACTTCAAGATTTTACAAGCCAACACCAATGGCAGTTTTATCAGATAAACAACATGCCTGTAGCAGTTCCTGGATGTCCCGGAGGATATGGCCAATTTAGAACATTACCTTAACCATATCAATATGGGTATCAAACTTCAAGATTTTAAAAGCCAATACCAATGGTAGCTTTTTCAGGTTCACACCGGGGCGGTTTCCTTGAGGCAGGCTCTAAGGGCACCGGGGGAAGTGACCAATTTGAACATGACCGGAACAATATTAATGTGGGTGTCAAACTTCAAGATTTTGCAAGTTAATGCCAATGGTAATTTTTCATGTTAATATGGATTAAGAATTTGGCCACCTCTCCCGGGGCACTCAGAACCTGCTTCATAATAACCGGGGCAGGCTGTGGACATGAAAAAATGTATCATTGGCATTCGTTTGCAATATCTTGAAGTTTGACACCCATATTGATATGGTTCGGAGCATGTCCCATATTGGCCACTTTCCCGGGGAACCCAGAACCTGCTCTAGGATGGCCATTGCAATGTGTGACGCTGAACACGATTCTGGAGATACCGCGCTGAAAAATCATGAGGATTGCTACCGATATTGACGTGATTCAAAAGATTAACATTACTGGTCACTTTATCGTTACCGATTTTAAGGAACTGGCCAGATCTCGTTTGATTCACAGCTTGCCCCGGTTCCGAAACCATGTTAATATCGATGTCAACCTTGAAGACTTTACAAGCCAACACCAATGGCAGTTTTATCAGCTAACAACGTACCATGGGTACTCTGTAGCAGGTTCTGGATGCCCCGGGGGAAGTGGCAAATTTAGAACATGACCGTTGCCTGTTACCTTGTACCCAGAACATGTTCCAAGGAAACCAGAGCAAGCTGTGGATCTGGAAAAGCTTATATTTTCCATATAAACTTCCTATGCATTGTGTCAAGCCAGTTTCTTACTTAATGAGTTCAAACTTTGGGAGGCTAATCAGGACCCAATTTGGAACCGTTTGAGCATTGTGGAGCGTTAATTTCAAATTTTGCATCAGTCTAATAGACATTGGCTTGCATAATCTTGAAGTTTGACATCCATATTGATATGGTTCCGGTCATGTTCCAAATCAGCCACTTCCCCCGGGGCATCCAGAACCTACTCCAGGACAACCATGGCAACCTGTTGACATGAGAAAACTACCGTTGGCATTGACTTGTCATATTGATATGGTTCCGCAGTCCTGGACAATGTTGTTCTGCATAGCATTCCCAATATATTTCCGAGATTTGGTGAAATTTGAGCAATATTTGAGTTTTTGACAAGCAAATGAATAGGATCGTTTCGTTTCCCATTGAGTTTCAGAAACAAAATTTAAAATTCTCCCGTAAATCCAGGTTATAACCAAATTTGTTCAAATTTGACACCGCTGTTGGAGACCTCAATACACATTGGAACAGCAGTGGGGAACAGGGAGTTGTGATCCACCATACAAACTTGACCCACCCTAATGGACAACTATGAAATTTTCTCAGCTATCGCTTTGCTCAAGACAGCTTTTCGATTAAACGAAAATAACCAAAATGTATTAATGGTTCTAGAGAATAACATCTTATGATCATGCTCAATCAACTGCTCAGCAGGCAACACTGGTGTCTATGTGCGTGGAATATAGCACAAAAATTATGACTACTATGCCACACTGCACAAAACAGTGTTGCCCACAAAGCAGCTTAAAAGAAATTCTATAGCACAGAAATATAGTGGCCCTGAAAAAGGCAATTTGGGATCCAAGAGATTTACATGCTGGTACTTTCGGGATGACGTGCTTACAC